GAGAGAGAGAGAGAGAGAGAGAGAGAGAGAGAGAGAGAGAGAGAGAGAGAGAGAGAGAGAGAACAGGTAAGTCTCCAACCTCGCGGCAGGCCTTACGCTACTTCCATTCATATGATGAGCAAAATCGAATGAATCTTCCGCTAGAACATGGAAATGTACATTGCCACACTTGTAGATTCAGTCCACCAACCCGCGGCTAGATCCCGTTCATAAAACCGCACCAACTGCAGCCTTCCGCCCGAGTGTTCCACACGATTGTTGCACAATCGCACTACCCAAACTCCAACCTCAGCCCGAACAGTCGCCACCAGACTCGAAAGGGCACTCGGCTTTGTCCTCGTGGCCTGTGCCGGTTTGTGGGCCCACGGTCGGCACTAGTTTGGGCCCAGGCCCGCCACCCAAAGTCCCTAACCTGGAGACCAGGTCTAGCTGCAGCGTCACGCGAGACCCGACGTTTCCTTTAGCAGTATGTAGATGTATTTGCTATGTTGTCATGGTTGACGACCTGGTTCTAAATGTCTGTCTATGTCTCATTTACTCCTAGTTCTTCTTTGGTATGATATTCGCTTCCTAACTACTTTGTTATTGATCCGTTGTCCAGGGTGCCCCTTCCCCATCTGAAGCATCTGTGTTTTGATTTGCACTATCCCATTCCTGGAACTTCAGAAATTTGTTTTTTTGTTTTAGCTATCTTCTTGCCTAACAGCAACTTTTCTTCGAAGGATTTTTGGCTAGTCTCTCTTTTTTTTGTGTCTGTTAATTCTTCTTGTTTCCTTAGCTCCCTTTTCCATTGTGCCCTGATTTTCGTTTCTACGATATCCTCCGTCTCCTTCCATGCCTCTTCGCTGCTTGTTATCTGGTTGTTGAGTATTCACTTGCATCTAGATTTCCGCATCACCCATAGTGCTGCTCCTCGCAGCAAATCAGCTACGGTCGTTTCTTCCTCTTCCACCTTTCTTTCTTTGTCTCTTGCTGAGATTAGGTAGTTTGCTTGCGTTGGGAATGGATTTGGAGAAATCTTGGATCAAGCTTATTTGACTGCTTCCAATATTTTGTCAGCGTGGGGGCATTCTATCAGGCAATGTACGAGTGATTCTACCTTGCTACCCTCACACATTTTGCAGAGGGCGGACTGTTCTGTTCGTTGGTCAGCTTTTCTTCGTCTATCCAGCCACTCATTGACTGGGACAGCCCAATATAGTATCAGCCATTATAGGCTTCTAAATCTAGTGGGATTTATCCCGCTATAGTATTCCCCTCCGATCCTAGAGGGCCAACCATGTTCCTCCCCTAGGTGTTTGATCCATCTTTCTGATATAACCGGGTGAGGATCTGCTATCTTGTCCCTTATTTTGTACCCTATTTTCACTGCGTAGTCTTGCAAATTGACTAACTTTTTTGCACTGCCACTACCCAATCCGACGTACCCCCATTCTGCCAAGTCTACTTCCAAATCCCTAATGTCGTTCTCCGGTCTAAATAATATCACTTTCTCAGAAATTATTTCTCTAGTTGATGGTCCTCCTTTTTCTTTCCGTCTCCATGTTCTTACTTTTCTCATCTTTTCGAGGTTGAATTCCAAAGTTTCTCCCCGTGTGCGCGTGCACTGTCTGCATCGTGTTGTTCCACATAACCGTCCTCATCATACATAGCATCAGGTTAGCCAGGTTACTCCTTTCCGCCTCCGCCGGTGTCGGATCCGCCTGCTCGTCCGTAGGCACAAAGGTCATGCCTTGGAGTAGTACTGTCCACTGACTCTCATTCTGAATCAAGGACTCAGCGCTGGCGGCGTTCCGCTTGTCTCGAGCCGTTGCGTCAGCCTCAGCAGTCCGCTGAGCTTGGGCTGCCGCCTCATTGGCAAGCCTCTGACATTCTGCTTCTGCTGCCTCTTGCTGTGCCTTTGCTGTGGCGACGGCATCTGTGAATGCCTGCACCCGCTGAAGGTAAGCTGCCAAAGTCTCATGGTCCCCTTGGACCAGACAGGCGGGGAGGATCCCTGCGGTGACCGGTACTGCAGCTGCTGCATTGGTACTGGATGCCACTGGAGTCGTTCTCCTGCTGAGTCGTTGT